GATACTTTAGGTGCCTAAAATACAAGAATTTTGAGATTACTGAAAGAGGAGAAATAGAAGTAAAAGGCAAAGGGAAAATGCACACATACTTCCTCATTAGAAATAAATCTGCAACTGAGAATGAGATTATGGGAAGGCCAATGAAAGATTTAGATTCTGGCCATGAATCTGTTCAGTCCATTCCAGAAGGCAAGATTGAAACTATACCAAGTTCTCATCAGCCAGGTAGAGTCAACTCAACACATATTTTCCTCCTTTAACAAATGAATAAAAATACAATCCAATTAAATGTCCTTTTGTATTATTCTTTCAGCTACTCAGGCTCAGCAAAAGAAGGACCAGACCCCAACTATTGCAATGAAGTATGTTGATGGCCCCACAGATGCACAGAACAACCTCAAAAGAAGGAATCAGATGAAAGCTGGAGATTTAACAGGTAGTTATTTAGTTACCATCTCACAAAGACCACAGAACTAGGAAATAACTGAGGCTTAATCTTGCAAGTTCTTTGTATTCATCTTCTGAATAACCATAGTTTTGTCAAGCCAGAAATTCATGCTAACATACACACATTACCCTTCTGCACAATCGTTAGGGCCAGACAAGTTCCACCTTTGGAGCAATCCCAGGTGTTGGTTTGCACTGGTGAGAAAGAAGCTGACAGAGCTGCCAAACCCCAGAGCCCTTCTGGGAGTGCAAATAGAATGGATAAACATTAGACAGCTCTTCACAGGGACAGACCTATGAACTGTCCATGTACACAGCTTTTCCTAGGAAAGATGTAGTTATGGGGGAGCCTTCCCAACTCAGGAGAGACCTCAGGCCTGCCTGCTGCAGGAGTCAGAAGGATTTATTGCCATGCTCATGTTCTGTGACCAAAGTTCATTCTCCTTTGAAGTAGTTGATACTGAGATAGCAGATTTGATGCCATAACAACCTAATCTAAAGCAGCAAGTCTTGTAGTTCTATTTATGTGCTTTGTGGATTTTAAACAGACTAAATATGTTGGCCCTAATTACTAGAAAATATTTTACTGCCTTCCCTCCCACCTGCTTAGATGTGGTGGTTAATCTGGTATGTGGTGTGCTGACAAACAGAAACCTCTCTGGTCCTTAAAAACTCACAGTGCAGGAGTGTTTCCTTTCAGGCAAAACTTGTGATTCCAAAAGTGATGGGAGTCTCCATGGCAACCAGCATGCAGATGATGGTCCTCGTCCTCCAAACCAGGGAAGAGTCAGACCTGCTGCTGAAGAGCCACAGAATAGAAATGTTCGCTCCAATTTTTGCACTTTACTCTAAGTTTCTTACTTTTACATTAAACAGAGAAATTTTATTATGATTTTGTGCATTTTGCTGTTTTGGGACTGATTTTGTATATGAGTACGACATGATTTTGTAAAAAGAAAAAAAAAAGAAAAAAGACATTTCATCACAGTTTTCAGTAAAAATAAAACAGTGGAGGAAATTTTTTTAATCCACCTACATGGGCCATATAATATTTCCAGTAGAGAAAGAAACCCTTGCAGGATGCTTTGAAGATGCATTTTCAGCCTGTGCCACATCTTTGAATATCCTTGTGTAAAAATCATGTGTTGGTATCTGATGCAGCAACCGAGAAAGAGGTGACTCATCCAGCTAGAAATATTCCTACTCAAATGAGCACTTGCCATAAAAGAAACATTCCCTGAAGTGACCATCTGTCTTGACTCCAGCACAGCCAACAACTTCCCCATGTAAGGTTAGCAGCATTCCTCCTATGTTTTAACTGCAATAACAGCTTAATTTCTTGACTAATCTTTGGTTGGGTCAAGGCATTATGAAGTAGAAGTGCAGAACAGATCTAAAACAACCTGTATTTTTGCATCCTGAAGAGAGAATAACATGTACTTGATAGCAGCCAACAGTAGAAAAGAGCACCTGTGATCTCTGAACCAGCCATACACACTGTGCATAGAAGGACATGGAAATGGTGGAGCTACGCAAAGCATCAGATTTGTCACAACACTGAAGGACTGTTCAAGGCCTACAACCTATCTGAGACCTTCAAATGAGTTTCAAGTTTATTTCTCATTTTATCACCCCAGCTAGACCAAAAAAACCCCAAGACAGCAAAGATTCTGGACTGCAGAAGGAAACAGTCACTGCTGGAATTAATGTTGCTAGCCTCATTGAAAACAACAGCATAAGAGATCAGCATTACCTGGTATCGGAGGCTGCTCACCTGAAATACTTCCATGCTGATATATTCTTAGATTAGGCCTGATCAGAAATGGGAGAGAAAAATTGAAGCTCATTTGTCAGGGATTTCAGAGAGAGGAGGAAAATTACAATGGATATAAAGGTTGTAGACAATTTGATGCATCATAAATTGTGCTCTCACTCCTATAAATGGAGCTTGGACTAGGTGGGTGACTTTGACAGAAGATGTGCCCTGCACACTGATTTATTACCTTTGGCTGTGGATTCATCGACTAAGGATGCAGGCATGAGACCAATGTGAACTCTGGGCAGGAACTCACTGGAGAAGGTGATAAAGTTACTCCTCCCTGACAGTCTGGAGCATCACATTTCCACCTCTGTGTCTGCCGCAGGAGCAAGGCTCTTTAAACACCAGGCAGAGAGCAAAGACTGATGAAAGGCATCTCTTCCTCTTTACAGTGTAGCCAGATGAAATTTCACCTGGTTAGAGTTTTTTTCCAAATCTCTGAGACAGGAGCTGGGCAGCTCAGTCTGCAGGAACAATTAGTGCAATTATTCCAGCAGAGGAGGATGCACAGAGTGAAACCATTGGTGCTGTTCTCCACTAAAGAGGTTTTCCAGGGGTTTGCCAGGTGTGGTCCCATGCAATGAGCACCTGTTGGCTTTTGGAGCACCTCACAAACACATGCTCTGGCTTAGCTTCCTCCAGAAGAGATCCATTGCACACTTGCTTTGCTCAAACCTGCCCTTCTTGCTCTGAACAATCTATGGGTGTTTAATGTTGGAATGCTTTAATTGCCAGTAAGTGCTCATGGTAAGTTACTTCATGCTGTCCTGTGGTAAAATGGTGTGCTCAGTGGTTTCTCTGTGGCATCTGCTGCAATCTGGTCCTCCTGGAGCTGGGTCAAATCTGCACAACTGCTTCTAAACATTAATGTGCCTGTGCATCATCGTGTGTTCTTAAATCTGTAGGCACTTCTAAAGACTGCAAAAACATAATTCAAAAATAAATCCTTTCATTAATATACCAACTACCATTTGTCAGTGATTACTTTGATTCCTGTCCCTCTTTTCCCTTCCACCTTTTCTATTCTCCTTTTCCTCTAGGCCTACAAAAGTGCTCAGTCTTTGTGTCAGTCACATAACTACAGGGAACTGACCCAAAAAGGGTGGAAGAAAGAAATTGCCACCACTGCTTCACGGACACTGAGGCTTAGAGAAATTAAAAGATGAGAATTTTGAAAGCTTTCTAAAACATATGGATTCCCAAATCCCATTAAATCTGGTGTTAAAACCCTAACTGTAAAAATTTGGATACCTTAAAGGTCCAGGGGCCAGATTTTTCAAAGACTTGCGTTACTTTCCTGAGGGAAAACAGCAATAATTTAGGTGCTTAATTGAACACATATGGAGTGTTTAATTCCCACAAATGATGCTTTCCTTAAAACATTTATAAAACCTTCCCTGTAAAGCCTTCTAAAATGGGCTGTTTAGTAAACTTTCCAAACTGGACCCTCCTTTGCATTCATTCATTACTTCTGACATTACAATGCAACTCTGTTTGGATCCAAGCTGAACATAAAAATACACAAATAAAATAGTAGTGAAACTGAAATTATGACTTCAATGGTGAGAATATATTAAAACCACACTTGGATATAAAAAACTATGGTGAAATTCCAAATGAAAAAGGAAACACACAATTTCATAGAAGTAGACAACATCATGGAAATTCCAGAGGGGTTTTTTTCCTACTAAGTCTCTGCTTCCCCCTTAGAAAACTCAAGACTTTAAGAGCACACAATGTGATTAAAATCTTCCTTAAAGTTATCTTTACAAAAATCTACTATTCATGTATTCTTCATACAATATTCAATCATCAGTGCTTCCTGTACAGAAATAAATAGCAGTGTGCAGTATTTTGATTCCATAAATAGTTGTAATCAAAATAAACACATGGAATGTTATCTTCACTTATATGATTAGACTAACAAGCACTGCTCATTTTTTGCAAGCTGTCTGTAGTTCTATCTCACAGTTATGTTGTACTTGCTTGCTGAATTTCTGCTAATGATTTTTGGTCTGAGCTGTGCTGAGAATCCATTCCTAAAAAATTCTGATATTCACAGTTCTTCCTATTTTGACTTGGTGTCCAGGCTTTAGTCTCCAGCTGGATGGGCACACCATGTGAGAAGGAGATTTGTGGTCACATTTTCATACCAATAAGTACTTACTCTGCCCTGTGCTCTGTTAGAAGTGAACCCCAAAAGGACATAAACTCATTGCCAAGCTGTACAGAAATTCAGGGCAACATTAACTGACTGTGAAATATCTCCTTAACTTCGCTGTATTAGTGAAGCTTGAAAGTTTTACCTACAGAGAAAACCTCCCTGGCTCTTTGATAGTTCTTATTTTGTCATTTGCACCAGACACCTTTCTGTGAAGGGAATCAGCAAACACAAGTGGTGACGCAGTTTCTGCTTTTTGTGACAAACACACCAACCCCAGCTGCAGCACCCTGTTCCCATCAGTGCTGAGGTGAGGGGTCCCTGAGCACACTGCACAGGAGCACTGTGTGAGGCCCCTTTGCTTTGTGTGTTCCATCCCCGTGTCTGGGCTCCCAGCTGCTTTGCTGTGGCTCCATTTCCACGCTGAACACCAGGCCAGTGACCCAAACCAGGGCTGGGTGATGCTCCGTGGGCATCCTGCCAGAACGTTTTGCAGGAGAGGAACCTGACACTCGGCTCTCATTTAAGGCCAATTGATCTCAGGAATCAATGGGCCTTTAAAAATTCACCAGCTCACATATCCTTTTCAGTGACGGTCATCAGATGTTTCGTGCTCTGATTTTGTAGGCTTTTGGGAGATCCTTGCTTTTCAGCAAATGATGACATATCTGTTGGTAAGAGGAAACTCACAGCCTTCACTTTACCCCTGGAGAAAAAAATGAGAAATCATTATGAGGATTTCAAAACATGCAGCGAAAGTAAAAAAACCCCAAAACACCAACCTGACCCAGCAAGGAAACAGTAAATGCTTTCAACTCTTGCAGGATTTCATGCCATTCACATAGCCATCCCAAAGGACCAGGCATGGTGCTCTCTGCTGGAAGCATCTGCCTTTTTCCATTGAGTCTCACATCTCCCTGACCTGTGTGTTCAAAGCTGTGTGAGCACAGAACCCTGGGGGTGCATCTGCACCCACAGAGACCCTTCAGTAATTTTAGTATAATAGCCCTGAAAAGAGTTCTCAGCCTCTCTTATCCTGTATTTAAATATTTAATGGGGTTTTTTTTCATTTACCAAACACAGTGGGAATCCCTTGGTAGAAATAATACTTTAGCATATATGAATTAAAATATTTTAGACATGCAAATTAGAGATGATTTGTTAGCAGTGCTGGTTTTTTATTACTTGGGTGCAATGTCACTCTATAAAAATTCAAGGTGATTCTTCTAGAGAGTTAATTTTAAATCAAAAATATTCATATCACATGCAGGATTATAGCTTTGGAGCAAAATGTGAGGAAGCTACAATAAACTAAGAATAGGAAAACTCGACTTGAAACAGCATGCTGGAAAGCAAAAATGTCATCCTTGTAAAAAATTAAGCTCAATAAGCTTGCTGAACTAATTGCTAGAAATTACCTTACTGGTGAAAAGCTAAGATGGGTGTCTGTGTCAGACACTTGAGGATATAACGGAAGCATCCCCCATAAAGACCATAAAGGATTCTAGATGGTTTTTTTGGTGTAAGAAACACAAAGTTTTGTGTTTCAGGATATCACCCAGCCTGCCAAGGGGCTGAGGTGAGAAGCTCTTCCCACAGCCCCTTCTCCTCCTGCAGCAGGCAGCAGTGAGTGCCCTGAGTCACTGCTCAGCTCCAATGGCACCCATCAAACCATCACTGCTGGACCCTGGGCACCCAGCAGCTCCCAGGCACGATGGAACAGATCTGTGCTGCAGCTCTGATTGCTCTGAAGGCTCTTTCCCCTGGTGAGCCAGCAGCAGGATTTGCCATTGCCATCCCAGGCCTGCCCCTGTTTGCCACCACGCACACCTCCCATGTGAGCTGGCTCCAGGGCAAAGCCCCTGTGCAAACCCAGGGCACTGGGATATTTCTCTGTCTGCTCTGGGGTGCCCTGACCCCCAGGGCAGCACTGACTTTGACCCTCATTCATGGAGAAAGTTTCCCAGACTTCAAGATAGACTGGAACACACAAAAGCGTGAAATACATTATAGAGAGCGGTGTAGGTGTATCACTTGGTGAGAAATTTAGATTTTGGGATTTTTAGTATGTTGTGGATGGAAGCAAGATGGAGGGCACAGGGTGCTGTCCTGAATTTCTTCTTCATGCTTCTTCTTCCTTCTTCTCCCTGGGTTTGGGTGGCATTTTGTAATTGGGCAGAAAAGTCCTCATTGCAGGCTCTGTGGGATCAGTTATTGGGTTAAAAGGGAAAATAATCCAGGTGTCAGTTCTTAATTGGATAGTTTAGTCTTAAAAGACCTTGTACCAAGAGATTGTTGGCCATTTTGTGCCTTCTAATGAAAAGCTGCCGAACTCACAGTAGTGAGACTGTTTTACTGATAAGAAATAATAAACACCCGAGTCAGAACATGAATTACTGTCTCACGTGCCTTCAATCCAGACCCAGAAAAACCCACAACGGGGACCCCCAGAACTCCCCAAGTGTGCAGGTGCACCCAGAGAGAGCCCTGAGTGTGCCTGAGCCAGCAGGGCATGCACACAAACCCAGAGTTACAGGGTCAGGGTGCTTTGCAAAGCGACACCAGTTCCCTGCCAGGGACTAAATTTAGGTGTCCAACTGCTGTAAAACGCCTGACCCTGAAATGCCTTACAGGAAAACCTAGGTGCCTCTGAAAGCTTGAATTGCTGTCCCCTGCAGCCTCTCAGAGAGGAGCTGGGCCCCAAACCAGCTTTGCACAGGAAGTGCAAGGGCTGGGCACTGGTGTGCTCTGAGGATTTAGTGGGACAGAATAAAGCTGTTGTGCTGTGCCATGCACAGGCACCTCCACACAGGTGACACAGCCACAGTGTCAGCCCCAGGGTGGCCTCTGGAGTCCTGTCCCAGCACATGTGTGGGCAGCCTTGGGCTTCTCCCTGCTCAAACACCTGCTCTGAGGGCATTTGGATGATTGTCCTGTTGAGCACAGCCTGACTGGGCGGAACCCAGGAATCAGCATGACTTCCCAAGGTGGGTGTATCAGCAGCAGGATGTGGCTGGGCTATCATATATCACAGTCTAATACTGCTGGTTCTACCTGTGGTTGCTGTCCTGTGATGGAAAGTTTCTCATCAGTGAGCAGAGACACTCAGGGCTGGTCCAGCAGCCATTCCACTTAATTCAGAAGCTGTCCTCAGACTGCTTTTTTTGAGGCTGAAAGCATTAACTTGTAATGCTTCACTTACAGTAGAAATATGATACAATACATCTAAATCCATGAGCCACAGCAACCACACTTTAAAGGCACACTGCAGAATTCCTTGGTATTTCCGTGCTTTTTGTTCAAAGTTTAAAAATCCCTTTCAAGCTTAGCTTGTCAGAACATCACATCAATCTGCAAAACTCTGCCTGGCTTTAACAGAGCAAAGATTTCAACCCCCTTCTCTCTCCCCCAGCCTCTCCTTTCCATGACAAATTTAACCAGCTCCCACTGCCAAACCTCATGCAGTGCAGAGGGGAACACAAATCCCTCAAAAGAGATCTCCAGTCTGCTCAGGGCCCATCCACATTCAAACAACTGTTTTGCTGATAGCACACCAACAGCAAGAGCAAAGTCTGGGTCTATCTAATGAGGATAAACCTGTGGCCAGCCCGGGCAGGTGGTGCTGTGGAGGCAAACCAAACCTACTGGCACTTGTAGACACGCTCCTGGAAGAGCTGCACCTTGCTGGAGGGGCTGCAGGAGACACAGCTGGCTGGGGATCTTCCAAGCCCTTCCTCGTGCTCCCTGCTGGGCTGTGCTGCAGCTGGAGGGGCTGGTGGCCCCTGCAGGAGCCCAGGAGTGCTGGGGGGCTGCCTGCCAGCCCAGGGGCACCTGGTGCTGGAAGGAGCTGGGGAGGCACTGGGGTAGCGTCTCACAGTCATGGCAGCATCTGAGGAGCAGAGAAAAAAGCAGAGATAAAAGCAATACTAACACTATTAATAATAATGACAATTCAGATTTCCTCAATGTATTTTTGGAGAGTGACTTTTAAGTGTGCAGATAGTGCTAGAACAAGGGGGAAGAGTTTTAAGGTAAAAGAGGGGACATGAGAGTTTAGGAGGTGAGGCCCTGGCACAGGTTGCCCAGAGAAGTTGTGGATGTCTCATCCCTGGAAGTGTTCAAGGGCAGGATGGATGAGTCTTTGAGCAACCTGGTCTGGTGGAAGCTGTCCCTACCAATAGCAGGGGTGTTCAAATTGGATGATATTTAGGGTCTCTTTCAACCCCAAATGATCTACCATTCTATTTTTAACCACTGTTTTGGGGCTCAAAACCATTTTGTATGTGGTGAAGCTGAGGCAGAGGATGCCAGACAGCCCCTTTAGGTCCCATCCTTTGCCCTAGAAAGCAGCTGGAAAGGAAGAGCCACAGGGTTAGAAAGACCTTTCCACAGCTTTCCCCTTTCCAAAAGGCCATGGAGCTGCTCCCAAACTGATGATATTCCCCAGCCACCAGCAGCCCCTCCAGGCCATGGGGTCAGTGGGATTGGCAACAAGCACTGTTCACCACAGCTCCCCTCTGGCTGCATGGAAATCCACTCCAGGCTGCTCAGCCTCTCATATCACTCCTTCACCTGGATTTGTCTCGACGAAAACTTGTGGGGCCACTTCTCCAACACTTCTCACCAAGCCACATTTTGCTCTGATTCCTGCTTCATTAATTCCTCCAGAAGTCCCAACCAGACTTCTATAACTGAGGAATATTTCCATTTTTCTCCTCTGATAAAGTTGTGAAGAGAATGTATTCCTATACATTGACCCCTCTCTGCCTCAACAAGAACAATCTATGTTATCTGCAAAAATAAACTGCACATCTGGTGTGATGTATGCGCCAACCCATTATTTTTTGTAGCATTTTTCTCATCTTTGACTAAGGCAGGATGGGTTATGACATGGTTATGAGGGTTGGCCTTTTCTGCCTGGAACAGAGAGGGGACAGGCACGGGGATGAGAATCCCCACCTGCAAAAACCCAAAGCAGAAACTCAAACTCTGCTTAAGCAAACCAAACTCTTTGAGCTGAATCCTTTGTTTGAGCAGCAGTAAAATACTCTACTGAGCTCAGCTTTGGGGGGATACACCCTGCAAAGCCCACAGAGCCAGGCATGCAGTGCTGGGGGTTTGCTGTGAGCACAGAATGGGCTGGGCCACTTCCATGGATTAACCAGAGCTGGCAGCTCATCCATCCATCCATCCATCCATCCATCCATCCATCCATCCATCCATGCCCCTCCCCTGCGGGCCCACCCTGCACGGGCAGTGCCAGGGATGCCAGCACAGCCCCTGGCCGGTACCTGTGTGCTCCCTGGGCGCTGCAGCGGCCGCGGCGCCGCCCTGCAGGGGTGATGGGGATGCCGGGGATGCCGGGGATGCCGCCGGTCCCTCCGCACCAGGGCCGCTCCCCTGTCCCGGTGCCGGCGGCGCTGTGTGCCCGCAGCCCCGCAGCTCTCCCTTCAGGGCCCGGTTCTCCCTCTCCAGCTGGCGGATTTGGGAGCGCATCTTGCGGACGAGCTGCAGCAGGTGCGGGTTCCCCTCCATGCCGCCCTGCCCGCGGAGCTGCTCCCGTCCCGGGCTGACCCTGCCCTTAAAGCCCCGGGACAGGCGGGTCGGATCCGGGCCCTGGGGGCTGGACAGAGCTGCCAAGGCATGGCCATGATTTATTCATGCGGGGATCGCGTTTCAGGGCAGAGCTGGCCTCTCCCCCCGCACAAATCACGGTCAGCCCCAGCAGAAACCTGCCCACCCCTCGGGTTTCTCATTTCCTTTGGTCTGCCCAAAAAACCCAGTGGTCATCTCCATGGCACAGAGAGAGAGGGTTTTTTGTAAGCTCAGCGGGGTCCGAGATGTTTGCTTACCCTACCAGCTCCTGGATGCTGCAGGAAAATGTTTGATGCCTCTTAGCCATGGCACACTTGCAGGCTGCAGATTTTGGTGAGTGCATCTTCAGTGTGCCTGCCTGAGCCTACTGCAGACACCTGTAACTGTGTGGGGTTTGCTATAAAACACCTCGACTTTGCTGGACAGCAATTCATCTCTTCCCTAGCTCAGGGTGATTTAAGATTTTTTGCTCTGTGTATTTGGAATTTCAATTCCAGAATTAGTAATTTCTCTCAGGAAAGTTAAAATTCTAAATGGAAGCTGATACAGAGCAAGAACCCTGCTATGAACAGCCTGTGCCAGCAGCTGTGATGGGCAGCAGGAACACCAAGGCTCTGCTGGAAGGCTGCAGCAGGGCCTGGCCCTCTCTGGGCACCAGGGACAGTCTCTGGAGTGCAGCTCTGGCACCAGCACCCACAGTGTAACCAGAGACAGACCTGGCAGGATTCTTGCATTAGCAAGAGAAACACAATCCCCCTGCATTTCTCTCATCACCCAGTCCCTAAAGCCATCTTTCTTCTGGCAGTAAGATGCAAAAGCCTGTGGAGCAGTCTTCCCACTCCCCAAATCCTACTTCAATATACAGAGCTGAGAATGCCAGAAAGCCAGCAGGGAAATAATTTAACACACCTTCTGCTTTGAGGTCCTTCACTTCCCAATAGCTCAACAGTGACTCAGGAATAACAGAGAGAAAAAGAAACATTTCATCTGTGTGCATTTCTCCACTCTGCTGCTGGAGGCTGAGGGAAGAAAGGACAACTGTTGTGAGATGCTTCAAACATGAGGTGACTCAGTCTTTGTTTTTCCAGAGGTGTCAGAAGGGCTGTGGGTCTATGGGGAGGTGCTGCTGGCCAGCACCAGCCCTGCTGTCACCTCCTGGCAGCCTCTCCAGAGGGCTCTGTATGGTTCAGAGAGGTGAAACAAATGTGAGTTCTCAGGCTGCAGATGAAGCCCACAACACCCATGCATTTTTCTTGGGCCTGGACCCAGGTTTAAAGAACAGTGCAGGTTCCCCTGTGCTGGGGATAAGGTGTAGGGAGCATTGTGGGTGTATTTCCCCAGCAAGCAGGTCAGGCACTGAGCAGTGACAGCACCATGTGCAATTACAATATTGCTGCTGACCCTGGCAGGTGTGGCTGGGCAGGGGACACTGACCAGCTCAGCAATTACCTTACCCCAGCTGTAGCTGCAGGCATCTCCTCTCATCCCATGCTGCTGCTCCTCTGGAACCAGACTGGAGCAGGCACAGACCTCTTGATGCACCAGGAATGTCTGAGGAAACTTATGTCTTGTAACCCTGTAGAGCTGCCCCTGCTGAAAGGGCCAGATGACTCAGGAGTTTTGGGCAGTGAAAACCTGGCAAAGCTGCCTTTGCCACTGGGCTGACCAGAGTGTTCCCTGAAAGGAGAAAGAGCTCCATGCACCCACCTTGTCTTTTGTTAATTCAGCGGGGTCCAAGACGTGTGCTTACCCTGCCAGCTCCTGGATGCTGCAGGGACACATGCTGGGTGCCTCTTAGCCATGGCACACTCGCAGGCTGCAATTTTGGTGAGTGTATCTTCAGTGTGCCTGCCTGAGCCTACTGCAGACACCTGCAACTGTGTGGGGTTTGCTATAAAACACCTCAGCTTTAACAGAAGGGGCAATTTCTCACACCTGAGATGCTTCAGCAAGTTATCCTTGGCAGGATATGGACCCAGACAAAGCTGTTTTCACCCTCAGTCACATCCAAAGCTCTTGCTAGGAGCCCCATAGCAATATCTCTGTGTGGCTGCTGGTGGATGTGCTCTGTCTCAGTGGACTGTACAAACTGCATACCTAATTGTATTGCAGCAAAACCCCTGCAAACAAAACACAGAAACCTTGAGGAACATCTTCATCCAAAGCATGGGGAGCGCAGCTCTTTGTTCTACCCCTGCCCAGTAGGGTGACATGCAGCAGCTCTGTGTGTGTGCGGGGTGACATGCAGCAGCTCTGTGTGTGTGCAGGGTGACATGCAGCAGCTCTCTGTGTGTGTGCATGGTGACATGCAGCAGCTCTGTGTGTGTGCATGGTGACATGCAGCAGCTCTGTGTGTGTGCAGGGTGACATGCAGCAGCTGTGTGTGTGTGTGCAGGGTGACATGCAGCAGCAGCTCTGTGTGTGTGCATGGTGACATGCAGCAGCTCTGTGTGTGTGCAGGGTGACATGCAGCAGCTCTGTGTGTGTGCAGGGTGACATGCAGCAGCAGCAGTGTGTGCATGGTGACATGCAGCAGCAGCTCTGTGTGTGTGCAGGGTGACATGCAGCACCTCTGTGTGTGCAGGGTGACATGCAGCAGCTCTATGTGTGTGCATGGAGACATGCAGCAGCTGTGTGTGTGCAGGGTGACATGCAGCAGCAGCTCTGTGTGTGTGCATGGAGACATGCAGCAGCTCTGTGTGTGTGCAGGGTGACATGCAGCAGCTCTGTGTGTGTGTGCATGGTGACATGCAGCAGCTGTGTGTGTGCAGGGTGACATGCAGCAGCAGCTCTGTGTGTGTGCAGGGTGACATGCAGCAGCTCTGTGTGTGTGTGCATGGTGACATGCAGCAGCTGTGTGTGTGCAGGGTGACATGCAGCAGCTCTGTGTGTGTGCATGGAGACATGCAGCAGCTGTGTGTGTGTGCAGGGTGACATGCAGCAGCTCTCTGTGTGTGTGCAGGGTGACATGCAGCAGCTGTGTGTGTGTGTGCATGGTGACATGCAGCAGCTGTGTGTGTGCAGGGTGACATGCAGCAGCTCTGTGTGTGTGCAGGGTGACATGCAGCAGCTCTCTGTGTGTGTGCAGGGTGACATGCAGCAGCTGTGTGTGTGTGTGCATGGTGACATGCAGCAGCTCTGTGTGTGTGCATGGAGACATGCAGCAGCTGTGTGTGTGCAGGGTGACATGCAGCAGGGGCTCCCTGGGGAAGGGACAGAGTGAAAACTGCCACCAGCAGGAAACAGCACCTGCACAGCCACCACCACTGCCGAACAGTTTTTGTAGCCATCTCACTTGCCAAATCCCTCTTGCTCCTCTGAGGTAGGTGAGATAAAAAAGTCAAAAAGGCCTCGTTGCTTCTCTAGTACAATAATTTTTTTTTTTTAGCTTACCACAGCATTTTGTCTTGGAGAATCCATCAGCAGCAGGTGCGTGGATGTTTCTGTGCCATGCTGCAGCTGGAGGTGTGTCCTGCCTCCCAGTGGCCCGGGAGTCCCTGTGCAAAAAGGCAGAGCCTCCCTTTGCTGGGGCTAAACCCGACCAACAGAGCACAAGCACTGGCACTGCACCTCCAGCAGCAGTGCCTCAGGCTTCCCCCGGGGCAATCAGCTAATTAATCACTGACCAGATTCATTTCAGGGCTGTTTGGGGCACCCTCAGTTTTAGCTATGGGGGTACCTCCCATCCTCTAAGCTGGCACCACTCTGTAGCCAAACAGAGGAGCCTTGAGGCCCATTTTGGTACATGATACAAATACCAAAAAATACCCATTCTTATTCTGAAAAGTGTGGTTTTTGGGTCTTACCTATTGCACAGCTGAAACGTGCTATTCCCAAGCTCCTTCTGAGGGACAAGGGGGAGAGCAAAAAAATGCATTTGCTTACTTTTAACAAAAAATAACAATATTTATATAACCTTTACCTCTTAACAGGCCCATAGAAAGTGGCATTGGGATCTGCAGAACCCATGCACATGTCACTCACCTATGTACATTTTCTGAGTGCTCCCAGCAGAGTGACAGCAACCCAGGGACTTGGCAGGACCAGCCCAGGAGGAGCTACGAGGCTGCAGGGATGCTCTGTCCTGGACATGGAAGTCGGAGACTCCAGCTGAGTGGGATGGGGACAGGAGAGAAGGACACAGGACATGGGGACAGGGGCCAGGGGCTGCCTTAGGCATGGACAGGGGCAGCAGCACTCGGGGGGAAGCAGCAGAGTCTCTGGAATCCCCCAGCCTCATGTGTAGCCGGGTGTGAGTGGGCAAACCTGGCCTTGCCTTCCTCTCATGACTAATTAAACTAATTAAACACTCCCTCTCAGCCACATCTGAGTGGGGACTCGCTCACAGCCTGCACAGTGAGGCAGTTGTGGGGGGTGAGCTCCACAACTTCCTAGAAACAAGATGGCAAAAATCAATTGTATGTGTAAAGCATTCTCAGGTTTCGAGATCTCATTAGGTAATGATGGCACAAAGTTATCTGATGAGTCTGTTAAAAGGTAATTGTTTAACTTATTAATGTCTGCTAAGCATCCTTTTCCTTTGGCAAGCACCATTTGCCTGACTGTGCCTTAACTCCCACATGTATGCAGAAAATCCCACATGTCCCAGATCAAATGAAACTTTGATTTTAAACATTCAAGGTTTCTGAAAGGGATCTGAATTCCAGCAGGGGATGCTCAACACTTTTGAAAAACCAGGCTTTACCTGAAAATGTGAAATAGAAACACCAAGATACATGAGTCACATCTGAAAACCTTGGTTTTGGACTGGGCTGGCATAAAGTTTGGCTACAGAAACATTTCAGACTTTTAAGAGGGCACTTTAAGTGTCTGTGTTGAATTTCCAATGCTCTGCCCCTTTAAATGGATACTCAAGTTAGTGTGGAATAATCAGAATTAGTCTCTTTTATGCCAGCCCCCTGCAAGCACAACATATGCTG